CGAGCCCCTCCACGGCTTTGCTCTGCATCTTCCTGGTCTGCAGACCAGGGAGACGCAGAGAAAGCCCCAGAGTACACGGGGGGCAGGACCGCGAGGTCCCGCAGTCCGTGTACTCCGGGGCAGCCCCGTTCGTAACTGCGGATCCGACATAAGTCGGATCCGCATAAGTCGGGGACTGCCTGTAGTACTGTCATGTCTTCTTTATACAGGGCAGACTTCACGGTTCTGTTTATACTGTGCCACCTAGTGGCTATATATAATATAATTTTAGCATGCCATTCCAGACATCTAACCTGTTTAGAAACGAGTAGTTCTATGGCTTCTTAGAGGCTAACAAATGATATAGATATAGATATAGATATAGATATAGATATAGATATAGATATAGATATAGATATAGATATAGATATAGATATAGATATAGATATAGATATAGATATAGATATAGATATAGATATAGATATAGATTATCATGAGATTTTGTGGGCACAACCCTCTTCTTCAGACTCCAGGTCATCTGAAGTGCGTTTTGCCCACAAAGCTTATGATGCTCTACATATTTTTCTCAATATTTAAGGGGTCACAAGACTACTCGTTATTAAAGTTACAGACTAACATGGCTACATGGCTACCCCTCTGAGACTTTTGAATACCTCAGGCATCTATCTGCAGCTTTAGCCAACTAAATAAATTTGGAAATTTGGCCCTCCGTGACCATTTAACTAGCCTGCAGGGAACAATGGTATAAATATTATAGTGGTGCTCAAATCCAGAGACACTCCAATGAACAAAGAGGAATCATATGTCAGTGATAAATTAACCAATTTAATTTCAGACCTTTGCCTTCCTAGGGCCTGTACCCACCACCCATGTATATTCCTGATAATTTTTTTGCTGTCTTTCTCCAGTGGGCAGCTAAGATGGAGTGACCCAGTGCCACAGCTGAAGAACCTCTACACGTGCATCCAGTTGCTGGATTGGGGTCTTGGTTTTGGAACAGAGCTATATATATATTGGGTATTGGAGCTGCTTGCACTTTGACGGAATCCAGCTAGAAAATTCTAATGTAGTCCATTAGCACTTCCACTGTAGGAGGGATAGTAGATGCAATGATTGCAAAAGAATAGTGGATTTTGGGATATGGTGAAGAAGCCAAGAAAGTTGACTCACAACTGTTTGGATCTGACAAATCAGTAATTTGCTTTAACTAAAAACATGTTTTTCTGCTGTAATTTGTTGAAATATGGCTTGGAACCAAGCATTGTCTATCTACTTTCATCTTTTTGAATTGTCAATGTCAGTGTGTCACAAAGAAAGAAAAGTCAGAAACAGTCCACCCAGAACTAACCAGTGGAAATGGTGCAGTCTAGTGTTCAGAGCACAGACCTGGAGCCAGATCTCTGCACAAATCTTGACATTGATTTGCTACATTGTCTTGATCACAGCTCTTAGCCGCTCTGCACCTTGGTTTCCACATCTAAGTCTTTTTCCACATCTTTTTTACCTTTCAAGGTGTTATGAGGACACATTTATTAGTTTGTGCAGTATTTTAGTCCTGATACTAAATAAATACCACTCCACTGCCATAGCTTGTGTGTATGTTTGTGCTGCACTGTCCTGAAATGGATATAATCAAATCTGCACATATGTGTGCCACTGATGCTATAGTGCTCCCTGTGAAGGGTGATTCTCCTTTAGTCCAAATAGAAGGGGCCTGTGATTGTGGAAGTGAAATGTGTAAGAAAAAGAGGTACTAAGGTAACAGTGATGGGCCAGTGTTAAAAATGTAGCTAGATATCCTGCTGTTGCTGTAAAATTCAGCATATAGATATAGATGGGATAGTACGAATTACAGATGAAATATTAGCCTAACGTGTGTTTACTAGATCTTGTTATCTTTTACCCACAGTTTTAATGCACATCAGCCTAACCATTTATTAGGATGGTGTTATACTTCCTCCCCGTTAGGAAGGATGTCGTCACCGTGTGCCTGACCTAACCTGTGCACCCCAGCCTTCCCGTGCTTGGCCGTAGTCTTTTTCAGAGTCCTTTTACTAGACCAAGACTCCTCATTCACCCAGAGGGAAGGGAGACCAGGGCCCACCCTCACTCCAGGTCTCAGCCCAGGACCCTAAGAAAAGGTACAATGGCTACCTGTTTGGCCACTGGGGCTGTACCACAACTCACCGGCCCACGGGCTTTCCTTTGCCCTGTCCTGGGCTCCTTCCTTTCCTCTTGTCGGGCTTCACTGTCCCTGTCGTGACTTTGGTCCTGTCATCAGTTGCTCTGGCAGGTTCTTCCCCCGACTCCTGTCTCGCTCTCCCCTCTTCCTCATCAGCGCTCTCCTCCTCCTCGTCCGGGACGCTGCCTCCTTGTTCCTCCTGGGTGCCCTCTTTTTCAAAGCTGACGCCCTCTACTTGGGATGCCGGCACATGCGCTGTCCTGTCTCTCGGTGCAGCAGTCTGGGGAATCACCGTACATGCGCGTGCCGTGGCCACCGAGCACGCCCGGCACAGCCGCTTGCCTTCCCCGGCGCTGGGGCCAAGCGCCATTTCGGTGTGGGTCTTTCTCCATCCAACCCCACCACCCCGTCACAGATGGTAACATGGAAAATACCAGCATTCCAGTGGTTAGTGTTACTACATGTAGGAAGGTTTGGAGTTTCTTAGTCTGGAAATGGCATGGGTTCAATGACAGCTTTTCTTCTGTAGTTGAAAATGAATCAGAGACTGACTTCCTGCTGTGTGTGGACGCCCTCTTGCACAAGAAGTTTTTGCAGAAGATCTCTTCTGATAAGAGCTTCTTGTGCAAGAAGCTTTCAGACTAGAAGTAGCCTAACTAACACATCACTCCTGATGTATCAGGTTGCCACCCTCTGACATTACCTAAATCCACCCATGACCCTGACCATGGAGTTGAATCACTATCTGTCATGTTGTCAGCTTAGACCCTGAACCTGGGTTGGTATGTATGTTATTTGTGGAGAGGCAGTTGGTACCAAGGTGTTTCTTAATGAGGTGTTCTGTTATGACCATGCTGGATTGTGCTCATGGCCTGTGCCTACTATTTTTAAGTATGAGTATTTCTGTAATATCAGACCTGTTCCTGACAACTCCTGCCTCTCGCTCACAAATTCTCTTTGCTTTTTATTAGCAAAGTTTTGACCATTGCTGTCTAGGCCTCAGGCCTCATACCTGGCTTGTGATACATGAGCTTATGTTACAGACCTTGCCTGCAGAAGATGGGGAGCTGCTCCAGCCTCCACCCGTTAAAATTAACCAGAACATCACCCTTAAAGGTGATGGTTACCAGTTAACCTTTCACATCCCTAGTCCCCAGGTCACCATCTGAACAATGGATATAACTGAACTTACCTCACAGGCATAGATGCTGGCAGGATGCTGCTACATCCCTTCACTGAAGGGGTTTTATCTTATAGAGCAGGGAACCTTTTTTGGGGTCAGGGGCCACTGATACACAGAAAAATCATTAGTGGGCTGTACACAAGTGAGAAGCAAAAACAAAAACAAAAAAACCCAAACCCTCACTGACATGGCCCCCAACTGAGAAGGAGAAAGACATTCCACACATTACCCTTGCACACCAAAGCCTGGGGTAAGGGGGCAAGCCGGTAGATTTTGTGTGCTCCAGCCCCACAGGGGAGTGGCGGAGGCTCCTCAATGGTGGGGTGAGGGAGCCCCAAGCCTCAGGGGCCAGATCCAGGAAAGCTGGGAGCCAGGCCCTAGGTTCTCCACCCTTCATATAGAAGGTGTACAGTTGAGTTCAATGGCTCTCAGCACCTCCACTATATAAATTGTTCCCACATCCTTGTTCATAGGGATGTAGTTGGGAGTTATTAGCTAATGTCTGTAAGATGCTTTGAAGATGCTCTGGAGATGTGCTACATAACACTATTACACATGGACTACAGGTCAAATCTTGCTCACTGTACTAATGCAGTGAAAAAACCCTATTGACTTAAATGGGGTTACTCACCTACCGAGTGTGATTTGGTCTTTAGGGCAGAAATGAATCAAATTAGTTTGTTTGGTATCAGAGCCAAATGATGCTCAAAACAGTAATTGAACGATGTCAATGATGAAAATTAACTACTGTTTTCAAAGTCATTACTGTGTTAATTTGAAATCAAGGAAATCTATTTTAGAAAAACGTGATGTAACTTCAATCGGTTTAGAAGGCATAGGGATGAAACTGGCTAGTGATTTTTTAACCTGACAGTATGACTTTAAAGTTTAATGCATTTAGTTGCCAGCGTTGGACTCATCTGAATTTTTGCATGGCGGTAGAAGGGCATGATTTATAAATAGTCACCTTGTCTTTATTGTGCATTTGTAATTACAAATATCTGATAATCACTGAGGTAAGAAAAACACTTCCTGGTTATCTACTCTTATGAAAAAGGTCTTTTTGGAGCTGTAAAGGGTTTCTGACCTACAATTCCCAGCAAATTCTGGGGATGTTTTCATAAGGAAAAAACTGTACAGAATGGCTTATAAAGGTAAAATAATCCATGAAAAATCCATAAAAACTATAAAATAAATTATGATCTTCACAGAAAGCAGCTGATTTCCATCTGGATGTGCTCAGGTTTTGTTAGCCTTATCCTAGCTCTGTGTGCCTATTACTCACAAAACAGTTCAGAACAAGCAAGTGAGCTGATTGGCTCTGTATGCTGCCTCTCAGGCTGCCCATTCCTTCCTTGCTCGGCGGAGCGTTGTCACAACACCGTGGATGTAGATACAGTGGCGTCTTGGGTGCTGGCATGAAATGTGCTGGCATAGTGCTTCTTCTGGGAACGTAAGAGAGGTGTCTGAGTGTCGACGTCACGGCAAGCTTTGCGTTTCATGCAGCGGAACATGTGCTGGGTCCACCCATAAACGATGCAGTTCAGCAGCCCCTGAGAAGCCGCTGTTAGAGCCTAGGAGAGAACCCAGAGCATAAATCCCTCTTCAGCCAGTGCAGAATGGAAACCATGCACTTTTGCAATTTCCTGCACATCGGATTTACTCACTTTTCTAATCCAACCCCCCATGGTTCCCCAAGTAAGTGTGCTCTGGCCAGCCAGTGGAAGGAAGGGATGGCTTGTTGCCTGAGCCTCCCTCCCTCATGGTCTGGCCAGCTGGGGAAGACTGAGTATGATTTCCCGCCGCTTCCCACGCTCCCAACCTTTCTGCTGGCTGGAGTATGGGACAAGGAGCTCAGGCAGGGAGCTGCTCCTGCCTTCCCCTGGCCAGTGGTTTGTACAGAACAGCTCCCTGTGTAGGACTATACCATGTAGGGAGAATTTAGGATTACTGAGCATGCTCAATAGCTCTGCTGAAGCCCCTGCCCTTCCTATGTCTATGTTTCTGCTGACTACATTTTACAAGGGGCATATAAAGGGGGCAAAACAGAGGAAGTGGCCAGGGTCTGAAATGTACTGGCCTGGGGGAATCAAGCCACTTTAGTGTGAGGCAGAAGAGGAGTCTAGGGGGGAAAAGCAGGAAGGGAGGAGTAGGAGCTTGTGTTCTGCTCAGGGTGGAGACACTGCCAGCCTCTGAGCAGGGTTTTTGCCCCACACAGAGAGGGGCAGAGGGGGTAACAGCTACCACAGTGGGATGAGCCACCTGCTGAGTGTGCAAAGGCAGAAGTGGGGCAGAGTGGGGGTTTTACCCCTCTTTGGATGCTATGTAGAAGCCCAGGGCTGCTTCCTAGCAGGGTTTTTAAAGGTACAGCTGTCCTAATTAATTGGCTCTCACTGCTGGCCCTCCACAGCCCCTCTCTATCTGCACTGCTATGCAGACAGGAGACAGAATGCTGTAAAAATCCGACATGCAGTTTGAAGGAGCGTGTCACACATTTGGAGTATTTAAAAGACTCTTATTAGTCCTCATCCCCCCCGCCCCCCCCTCCCCGCTTCCTGGTCCCTAGCCCTGAGTGTCTAGGACAGACAAGTTCACAAGTCTTGTGGAAGGGGGAAAGGAATGGTTAACATAGTCTATCTTGATTTTGTTAAGTTCTTCATACTAATGTACCCTAAATGAAGCTACAATAAGGTGGGTGCAAAACAGGTTGGAAAATAGTGCCCTGGGTGTAGTTATCAGTAGTTTACAGTCATGTTGGAAGGGCATAATGAGTGGTGTCCTGTAGGGACCAGTTCTAGATACACTTCTGTTTAAAATCTTCATTGATGCTTTAGATAATGGCTTTGAGACAGGGGTGAGTTGGGGGGAGACATGAGTGCTCCCCCAAAAATGCCTGGGCAGGAGCAGTCACAGGAGCCAAGAGAGTTGGAGCTGCCTTGCTGCGCTTCTTTGCTGCTGCTGCCAGTATGTATGGGGATGAGGCAGACCAAGGACAGAGCAGGAGAGGGGACGAGCAGATGTGGGGGTTGTCCTGGCCCTTGCCCAGCCCTCAGGGTCTCCCCTCACCAGTCCGCCCTCTCTGCTTGGAGAGTGCACTTAGAAAGGCAGTGAATGATGATAACACATTGGGGCTACGTCTACACTGGCATGATTTTCCAAAAATGCTTTTAACAGAAAACTTTTCCGTTAAAAGCATTTTTGGAAAAGCACGTCTGGATTGGCAGGATGCTTTTCCGCAAAAGCCATTTTCGCGATCAGGGCTTTTTTGCGGAAAACAAATCTGAGCTGTTTACACTGGCCCTTTTGCACAAAAGTCTTTTGGAAAAAGATTTTTGCCCGAACGGGAGCAGCATAGTATTTCCGGAAAAGCACTGACAATCTTACATGAGATTGTCAGTGCTTTTCCGGAAATTCAAGCAGCCAGTGTAGACAGCTGGCAAGTTTTTCTGCAAAAGCAGATGATTTTGCGGAAAATCTTGCCAGTCTAGACACAGCCTGGGAGGGGTTTGCAAGTGCTTTGGACCAAAAGCTAAATATCAATCAACCACGCAAAACTCTTGCAAAAAAAGCCAATCTCAGCATTGTAAGCAAGACACAAGAAGTAATTTGTGTGCTTCACTCTGCGCTGATTAAGGCTCAACTGGAGCCCTGGGTGTGATGACTGAAACATGATAACAATCATGGGTCTATAGGAATGTGCTAGATGCTGGTATTAGTGTTTTACAATTACAGTTTCCTACACTTCATACGCATGTACCTGCTCTCTGTAGGACTTTGCTACTTCTCGTAGCAATATCTTACAGCAGCATTTCCTTATGATCCTACAAATTAGTAACTACTACTGGTAGCACAGTCCTACAGGGAACAGCTCTGTACAAACCGCTGTCTGGAGCACAGTTACTTGGGACACCATGGGGTGTGTGTACGTTTGTACCCTTTCAGTCCATATTTACCAAAAAAATCACACACATACCTGATAAATTCCTGCTTTCGGGCCTGGATATTTATGATTTTAAATGACCCTCCTCACACTAAGGCAGGCCTCACTCCATGAGGTGCTAGAGGAACGCTGTGCTGCCGGAGTTGCTTTCTTTTGAGCAATTGCTCGCTTTTGTCCTGATCACTCCTGGTTATAAAAGCTCCATTGGTTCTTTTCACAAATGGAGAACTGTTAACTCTGATGTCCTGGTCAAATGTCAGTCAGGGAATTAATGCTGTCTCGCTGAGTTTTCTCTGGACCTTCAGTCGGAGACAGGATTCTTCATATAAGGAGGTTTAGGTTGGACATTAGTAAAAACTTCCTAACTGTCAGGGTGGTGAAATGAATTGCCTAGGGAGGTTGTGGAATCTCCATCTCTGGAGATATTTAAGAGCAGGTTAGACAGACACCTATCAGGGATGGTCTAGACAAGGGGTTCCCAACCTGGGGTACATGTACCCCCAGGGGGTACGAGAAGTTTGTCAAAGGGGCATGGGGAATATTTGGTAAATAACTAGATTATCCTAATTGAAATATTCCAAAAGTAGTAGTGTTAGTGAAAAAAAGTTGTGGATTCTGGAGTCTAGAATTTATTTCCTTTCATATTGAATAGGGGGTACAGGACGGTTTACTAAAAGCCAAAGGGATACGGGGACCGAAAAAGGTTGGGAACCCCTGGTTTAGATGGTTCTCGGTCCTGCCATGAGGGCAGGGGACTGGACTTGATGACCTCTCGAGGTCTCTTCCAGTTTAGTATTCTATGATTCTATATCTTCCTGCCCTGAGGTGCAGCATGGTGATGTTCTGGGCTAGGAAACAGCTGTTGGGTTCTACTTCAGGGGCAGCTGCCATTCAGTAGAGGGGAAATGATTCCTAGATATAGTTTATGATCAGGATGAGTCTGCAAAAGTGCTTTGGGGAATATAAAAGGGAAGAAAAGGACAACAGAAATGTAAGATAATCATTATCTGGCCCTAAGAGATTCAACAAGTGGCAGCTTTGTTCATAAAACTGTGCTTTCATTTTTCTTTATGAGGTTTTAGTCTGTCTGCATTCCTGGATGACACATGAATTTTGGAATTTTTTAGTGCCCTATGCTTACTGCAGCTTCAAGATACAGCCCTCTAAGAAAACTACTGGTTAACAGCATCATAAACCAAGGTTTTACATTCAGGTTCTATAGAAACTCAAAGAGTAGTATTCAAGTTGTTTATATCAGGGTCTACATTTGGCCCTGCATTACAAGGGTTTTTAATGCCTCACAAGTCCATTTATGGACCTAGAATAATATAAGATCTGATCTTTTCTAAGTATTTCCAGCACCTAGATGCCCTAATACATAAGGAGCCCAGCTTCTTCTGTTTGGTTCCTGAGACCTTGCAAAGCATGTAAAGAACAAACATAAGGATGACTACAGACATCCTTCCCTAGTTCCATCCATAAATTGGACAAAGGCTCCTCTGCGCATGGTCTGCAGGGGAAGAAGCAGACTGTACATTTTGTTTGGCGTACTTGAGCCAACAGTGTGATGCTGTTGCAAAAAAAGCAAACATGATTCTGGGAGGCATTAACAGGAGCATTGTGACCAAGACACAAGAAGTCATTCTTCTGCTCTACTCTGCGCTGATTAGGCCTCAGTTGGAGTATTGTGTCCAGTTCTGGGCACCATGTTTCAAGAAAGATGTGGAGAAATTGGAGAAGGTCCAGAGAAGAGCAACAAAAATGATTAAAGATCTAGAAAACATGAGCTATGAGGGAAGACTGAAAGAATTGGGCTAGTTTAGTTTGGAAAGGAGAAGACTGAGGGGACATGAGAGCAGTTTTCAAGTATCTAAAAGGGAGCTACAAGGAGGAGTGAGGAAAAATTGTTCTCCTTGGCCTCTGAGGATAGGACAAGAAGCAATGGGCTTAAACTGCAGCAAAGAAGGTTTAGGTTGAACATTAGGAAAAACTTCCTAACTGTCATGGTGATTAAACACTGGAATAAATTGCCCAGGGAGGTTGTAGAATCTCCATCTCTGGGGATATTTAAGAGCAGGTTAGACAGACATTTACCAAGGATGGTCTAGTCAGTATTTGGTCCTGCTGTGAAGGCTGGGGACTGGACTGGATGACCTTTTGAGGTCCCTTCCAGTTCCAGTGTTATATGATTCTACAGAACCAACCAAAAACTCACATGACCAAAAAAGGAGAGAAGAGAAGTTCTGAAAAGGTTCAAACTGGAGTACTTTACCTGAAGAATATAAAGAGCCATGTAGATTCTGCTGTTCACTGATACAGTCAACTTCACTATTCCAAGGATAACGGCTGTGAAAAAGGATTGATAAAGTGATATTGCTTTAGCCTTCATTATTTCCAGTTACCATGCCAACTGGCCAGAACACAAGCATGGAAACTGGCAGATATAACATAGCTCTCTACAAACCTGGGCCCCAACAACAGAAGAAAGCAATAGGGTAGAACACTACTCGTTGTTCCACTATTTTTATCATTGCCCATTGCTGATCGCCCAGGAATCCTGTTGAGTTTATGAACCTTTTGTACAAAGCTCGGGCTTTGATGAGAAGAACCTAGAAAAGAAAATGCAACTGTATAATTCATTGTGTCTCATGTACAGGCTGATTTAAGAAGCGTACATCAAAGCCATGTACAGGAATTGTGCTGCTTGGTTGTTCTTTGTGGGGTACTTATTTAATCTAAGAAATAGCTGCAAAATAGACACTGCCGTGCCAAATCTGAGCAAGAGTCCATTTAGTTTGGTGTCCTGCCTTCATCAGTGGCCAGCAAGATACTTCTGAAGAAAGTATCATGGACAACTAATGGCATAACTCATCTATGAGAGAAGTGGTGGCTGATGTATGTTTTAGTGCATGACAGCAGATGTCAGTTATGATTTTATTCTAGCTAGTGTAGCAGCAGCTAATACAGCTGGCATGGAGGGGCAGGAGGCTGGACAAGGTGAGGGAGTTGGCTCTGCACTTCTGGAAAGGGAAGGGCTTGTGATGGAAGAGGTGGGGCTTGGGGAGCCAGCCCAGGAGCACCACTAAACTGCGCTGTGCACCCCATGCTGGCCCTCTAACCCCATCCGGACCATGTAGCTAAGGGCTCTGTAGCATGCTGTGCAGCGATTTAAAGGATCTGGAGCTCTGGCCAGTTGCCACAGTAGCAGAAGCAGCAGCCAGGCATCCAAGGCCCTTTTGAATCACCAGGCCACAGGGTAACCTCCCCCTTTGCCTTTTCCTCCCTCTCCCGCAGCTGGCAGGCCTCATAGCTGGACTCCAGGAAACAGTGAATCATTCCTAACATGTTTTAAAACAAATTATCCCTCTTTTGAATGCAATTCAAGACTGAAGCCTTGCCCACTTGCGGTCATTACATATCCTCTGGTACATGTGTTAAACCTGGTATCCCAGCCCAGTTCTCAATCATATATATTGTGCCTGTAATTTCAGTTGGATTCAATAGTTTTCTCCACTTTCTCCCTTATGCTGTTGTATAACGTTGCTGTATGCTGTTAAATAGTTGCTGCCTTCCACTTCAGAGGAGTGCACATTTCTGAGCTGGGTGGAGTAATTCCTGTGCCCAAAAGGGATAGGATTTTTGGTTGGAACATCTACAGATAGCCAGTGGGAAGAGGACAGTCACACACAAACTAAATAAAATGTGTTTTTATTTTAGTAAATTATAAATTGCTCCTCACAATGACATGTAGGCAAATCACAAACAAAAGCCAGCATCTGTTTATAACTACCCATAGGGTGAAGCAATACAATCCAGCGTCAGAGGAGGTTAGGAGAAAGGAAAAGAAAATGTCTCTATAATTCTGACCTGGTCAGGCAAAGGCCTGGCCCAGAATAATAATAACAACAATGCCTACATCTTATATAGAGCTTTATATCTGCAGATCTCAAGCGCTTACAAAGGAGGTCAGTATCACTATTATTTTATAGATGAAGAAACTGAGGCACAAACTGCTTAAGTGATTGCCCTGAGGGGCCACAGAGAAATCATTTTCATAATTGGGCTAGAAAGCAGGAATAGCAAATAACTGAGTTTTTCTTTCAGAGGCTGAACTGAAAACAAATAAAATCTTTTCGGATAGGGTGCAGAAGGGAGTTTGGGGTGAGGGACTGGGGTGCAGGAAGGAGAACGGGGTCTAGGAGGGAGTTTGGGTGAAGGAGGCAGGTGGTGACCTAGGTCAGGGGGCTAGGATGCAGGATTTTGGGATGTGACCTAAGCTAGGAGGGGCTTGTGAACGGGGGGCAGAGGACTGGGATGCCAGATCTGGGATGGGGTATTGGTGCAAGAGGGGGCAGAAGGTTTGGGTATGTGGGGCAGAGAGTTGGGGAAGGGAGGCACTGGGGTGCCAGAGTTAGGTTCTGGGTGGAGCTGGCTTGGTGCTCCACGTGGCTCTGCTCTGGTATGAGAAGGAGGGGAAGGGGGAAGGCGTTCTACACTGCCCTTGCTCCCGGCAAAAATTCTTGGCTCATCTTGGCTGGAAACTGAGAGATTGGCCAACGGCAGCTAAGAGATTTTGCTGGGGGGCGGGAACAGTATGAGACTTCTCCTTCCCCAGCCCTCCAGAGCAGAGAACAGCTGGATTTGAACTGATCTCTGCCTAAGGGCTCCAGTGAGGGGCTTGGGGGGCCAGATCTGGCCCACTGGAAGCCCCTTGACCACGCTGATCTAGGGACTGCTGAGATGATTGCCTGGCAATTTGCCGGTGGCAGCTGGAGCCTTGGGCCCTTTAAATCACTATCAGAGCCCCATGCAGTGCTAAGAGCTGGGTGAGGGGGTGCAACTTGGTCCTGGCAGTGCTGAGGGCTGGCTGCCCCCAGACTCACTCCTTCTACCCAAGGTCTTGGCCTTTCCAGGAGCTTGGAACCACCCTCCCCCTTCTTTCCCCGGGGGCCTGGCAAGCTGTGTTCCCAGTAAGCTGTGTGCTTGTGTGGTCACTTAGGAGAGATTCAAATGCCACCCAGCTAATTAACAGAGCACCCGCAGCTAGATGTGTTGTTTCTGCTGGTGGTGCACATACACACATGCCTTCATACACATAACAAAATTTATTCCACACACTGATTGAAAAAAATCTGCACATGGATGGAAAAGAGTAGAGGGAACATTGCTGGCAAGTCTGTTGCCTCTCCTCTCCCCCCTGGCCCCTCCCAGTCACTCTCATCCTTGGCATCTGCAACTCACTGTTTGAGGAACAGGAACAATATTTCTTACCATAATGGCGATGAAGCTGATCAAGAAGGCGATCAGGAAGACTCCAATGCCATAGAAATACATCACAAAACAAACAGAACCGCAGTGGTTTTGCAGTTGGCCAATGAGCATGGCAGTTTCTGTGTGCATCAAGAGACACCTGCCGCCAGAAAGGGGACAAAAGACAGCCTGAGTGTTTACTTCTGGTGACTCCTTTCATCAGTCTCAGAGGAAGCCAGGTACTCTAGGGGCAGCTTACCCATGTTTCTGGCTGAAGTTCTGGTAGCAATTATGGGTGTTGCCCAGACAAAACACAGGAACCATTAAGAGGAAAGGGATCAAGCTGAGGGGAGAAAATAACAATAGCTCAGTCACAACAAGCAGCCCTCCTATCCTTGCCCTCTTTTTTGCCACTACTGAGATGTCGTTTTGCTTTTTATTGAGAACATCTTGAAATAGTAGTATTCTAGAACTTAAATGTTAATGCTTACAGCTTCTGAGTGGCACACGATATGGCATAATGTATGGCATAACATAGGGGTGGTATAACATACGGGTAATGGGAGGAATTATACCTGGTTAGCTGAGAACAAAATTTGTTTCAATGTATTTTCAGATTCTATTACTGAGTACCTCAACAGGACACTTTCATACTACTGTTAGCATTGATAATACTTTATGTCTTCAAAAAACTTTAGAAGCATTAATTAATCCTTCTAAGACCGGCAAGGGACGAGAGTAACCATTTAATGGCCATCCAGGCTATCACCCTGTTGCACACCATGGCTGCTTTAATGTCATGGTGATAGTGAAACTACAACCTTGCTCCTACAAAAGGAGACTCTTCATTAGCTATATTGTCAGAGGGGCCCAATGACATGCAAGTGAGCAAAGTCCTGGTTCCATGCTTTGGAGGGAAGACATATATACACACGTACACTCTCATGTGTGCATAAAGTTGGCTCATTGCAGTTTGAGTCAATACAACTCACTTGAATGGAGCTCAAATAATTTACAGCTGAGGATCTGTCTGTAAATTTTGTCAGCCCAGGATATCATGATTGCCAAGTCATGGGATTCACAATCAAGTTTTAATAAGAATTGTTTCTAAACAAAGAACAGTTTTGGTCTAAAACACCCAACTTTACTGTAAACATCCAGCACTAAAGCCTACCTGGACAAAATTGTTGCTATTCGGCCAATGCGATTTGCATAATCTAAAACCTGTAATGATGAAAAAGCTTAGTTACATGATTATTCCTTATATATCTGTACAACTGTAACCCACATGCCTGCTGCAGGTAGTATACTATTCCATGTAGTGGCTCTTAGACCACTTACAGAGAGAGAGATTGGGGCTACGTCTAGACTGCAGGCTGCTTTCGGAAGAAGCTTTTCTGGAAGAGATCTTTCGGAAAAAGGCTTCTTCCTCGTAGAAAGAGGATTACCAATGTTGGAAAAAACCCTCTGTTCTATCGATTTTTTTTTTGAAAGAACACGATTGCAGTGTGAACATAAGTGAAGTTTTTTCAGAACCCCCCCCCCCCCCCCCCCCCCTCCTCCCCCAAACAACGTCGAGTTTGCTCTGCAACCTTAGTTCTCATCTACATTAGGGAGTTATTTTGAAATAACCCCCCTTATTTCAAAATAATAAGTGGAGCATCCATACTACCAAGCCGGTTATTTTTAAATAATGGACTGGTTATTTTGAAATCTGTACTCCTGCTTTCCTCGGGGAATAAGCTTATTTTGAAATAGTTATTTTGGTAGTTATTATTTCAAATGTGTTTTTTTTTAAATACTTTCCTAGTGTAGACATGTGCTTAGCTGAAGACCAGCTGTCTTTTAACTCAAGCAGTATAGGCTCATGCACTAAGCTCCAGCGATCCCAGGTGTGGTTCTGCCTGTTAAGGATATACAACCACCATTTAGTTACATTTTAGCCAGCCTCATCAAAACAGGCATTCTGAAGAGCTCAGTGCATGAATTGGACACAAAGCTGCAAATTTTGGTTGGACAAATTAATCACAGGACACAATCTTTAATTCTTAGAGACTCCAAAATAATCCTGGGAAATGACTGGAGGGAAAATACCAGATGACTATTGCAAATTTAAAAGTCAGCCAACATTTTGGCATGTTGAGAGCACTAGTCCCTCATGACAACTCCTGCGTTCTGCTCCAGGATGATTCCCACTTAAACATTTTCCTTCAGAAAAGTCCTTGGAGAAGGGGCATACAACCATGTGCCTGTCAGAGAACTTTGACTGCTCTGAAAAATGTTACAGAGAAAATGGGCCAAATTCAAAGTTCGGTAACATAAAGTTTAAACAACACATCTGTAAACGGGCATCAACTGTACAAGTGAATGTCAATTGAAAAGAAGAAATGGAAGGCAGGATTGCACCAGGAAAAATCACAATCAGGTGTACATACAATAAAGCTGAGGGGTGCTTTATTTTTAAGCTTCCTGAATTTCCTGCCTTAGTTGTTCTTTTCCTTCTATAGGCCCATCCTTTCACCCTTCTAGCTCTCATTCACAGGGCCAAAGCATGGCTCTAGTGAAATCAACAGGAGGTCTGTTCCACCAACTTTCATGGACATACCAACACATGAATTTCCTGACACTTGAAGATTTGTCCCTTGTGTCACTTTATCATGTCACGTTAAGGAAAGGACAAGCCATATGGACGCATGTTTAGATTTGATGCTCTTTTCCTTAGGAAGACTATGTGAATGTGAGACTTGGGTGTTCCAGAGACAGCTATTTGCTTATGCTTGCCAGATGCTGTAATAAATATTATGGTGAGAATCCATGAAAAGGGCCAGAAAACAAATTAGAGCATCTCATGATATGTGGACTAACATTTTCCTCCTTTGCAGAATGAGTCATTTTTTAATACTCAGCATACTCTGAACCAAATTCCCCTTTATTCCCAGGACTCGGTACTTGCCCAAAACAGAAGGAAGTTATGAATAATAAGACTTAGAAACCTTCTAAGATCAAAATGTTTTAAACATTCATTAATCTCCATATCAAACCTCTGAGAGAGGTAAATATTTGAAATCAGCTTCTCCTGGCTTTCAGTACTGTGTTCAGATCACCTTTCTTTGGTCATGCTTACAACATGTGGTTCACCACCAGCTCATGGGAAATAACTTTTTATTGAAACAAACTGAAAGGTGCACATTGCAATGGAAATTAGTTTGGGGGGTTGTGCAGTTGCTTCTTCCTCCAATTTATTGACTGGCTGCTCCTCCAAAGCTAGAGGATTCCAGTTTCCAGAAGCAAACCAGAAGAGTAACAAAGTCCTGATGAGATCTTTGCATGCAGGTTATTTATTTTGTGAAGCATAACTTGGCACAATCCTGCAACAGTATAATGAAGCTCTGAGGGAAAGCACAAACAATTGTGACTATGAGGGACTCTACTAACTAGGAATTATATTGTGGGTGCTGGTACTGGTCTGCCTTTAGGAAAGGTAAACTGGTCCCACTCTGCAAAGACACAACACAATCCTGTGCTGCAGACATGGAAAAGCAGTACCACAAGTAAAAATCCTCAAACAAGAAACTGTGTTTTGAATAATACTTTGCACATTTTGAGCACCACTCTTCTGAGCTCTGAAAGCTCATTACACATGAGGTTCACAACACTTTTGTGGACAGATCAGCATTCCCATTTTATAGTTGGAAAAACTGAGGCACACAACACAATCCTGTGCTGCAGACATGGAAAAGCAGTACCACAAGTAAAAATCCTCAAACAAGAAACTGTGTTTTGAATAATACTTTGCACATTTTGAGCACCACTCTTCTGAGCTCTGAAAGCTCATTACACATGAGGTTCACAACACTTTTGTGGACAGATCAGCATTCCCATTTTATAGTTGGAAAAACTGAGGCACATGAATACAAGTGTGTGTGCCTGTCAGGATGGCTAAAATCAATTATTAAAAAAAACAGATTTTTTTTTTATTTAAATAATATTTTTTTAGATCATCAATAAAATACTAACAATCAGCTATTGCTTCTTATAAGTTCTTATAAGCAACAGTGGAGTAGCCTGGAAAGAAAATGGGAATGAAAAATGGAAAACATTATTCAGCACACACACAGCTTCCTAAATTCCTCCACCTTTTTGCCATAGAAAAGCTGACATGGCTCCAGGGTGTAAAAGAGACCCTATCTGAGAATATTTTCAAAAAATTTATTCCCCAGGTAAAATAGGAAAATGTGTCACGTGTAAGCAGTGCAAGAATATGTTGCAGGACCTAGCTGAAAGAATGAAACATCATAAAGAAAACTGCTCACTGGGAGAAAATGATGTGGATGAAGATGTGAAAATGTTTGAAGAACAGTGCGGATCAAATCTGTAGATAAAGATTGATTCACCAGCCAATCACAGAGAGAATCTGCAGAACTAGACTTTATCCACAGATTTGATATCTAACCCTGGGCCTAAATAAAGACATTACAAAGACAATTTCTCCTGCCATTAACATTTGCATTTCTACCTCAAAAGCTATGGGACACATCTAGCCCACTTAATTAGCCTAATTAACATGGGTCCTACAATTGACGGGTACTTCTGCTACTATTCATCTGATGAAGAGGGTATTGCCCACGAAATCTCATGATTATATAGATTTTGGTTAGTCTCTAAGGGCATGTCTACACTAGGAAATTATTTCAAAATAACTTATTTCTAAATAACTCCTGAAATAACTTTCAAAATAGTGTGGCCACACTACAGGGAAGCCTTGAAATTAGTCTGAGGTAGGCTCCTTAATGTGGATGCACTACCTTGACTTAGAGCCCCAGGAAGCACTGGGGGGAAATTACTTTGAATGACCTCTGGGGAGTAGTTATTTTGAAATAGCAGCAGTGGAGCGTCCACACAACTGATATTTCAAAATAACTATTTCAAAATAAGCATTATTCCTCGTGGAAATCAGGAGTTATTATTTCAAAATAATCAGCCCCTTATTTTGAAATAACTGGCTTGGTAGTGTGGACGCGCCACTTGTTATTTTAAAATAAAGGGAGTTACTTCAAAATGACTTCCTAGTGTAGACCAAGTCCAAGGTGCCACAGCACTACTTGTCTTTTTTATTGCAATATCTAGCAATCCTTGGGCTGATCACAAAAACCACTTGGAAATTGTGCTGCCAAAACTCAGAGAGACAGGCCTACCTATAAAAGCCTCTATTTGTAAAACACAAGCAGCCAGAGTTCCTTATTTGGAACACTGAGCAGAAGGAAGTCAAATATCCTCTGGTAAATGTTCTCTTTAATCTTTTACATTCTTGTGCATATTTTTCCCATCTATGTGCAGAATAACATTTAAGTGCACTGAGGCACATGAGAATGTGCACCACCAACAGAAACAAAAAACCTAGCTGCGGGCACTCCGCTAATCAGCTGGGTAGCACTGGAATGGCTCCTGAGTAGCCACACAAGAGCATAGCTTATAGAGAACACTGGTTCTGATCCCCTAAAAAGTGATGACCTAGAAGTTGAGACCATTGTAAATTGGACCCTGCCTCATATCATGGAACAGGTCCAACTTTCATAAGTCTGGTAAACTATTCCAGACACTTTGTGTGTGGGTTCAGTGACTTTGCATCTGTAGTCACTGATCTATATAAAAAGACTAAACCTAACAAAGTCATTTGGACAAAGGCATACTAGGAAGGCTTTGATAAGGTAAAGGAAAGCTTGTCTGAAAAGCCTGTTCTAGCTAGTCCAGATTCTGACAAAATGTTTGACCGAGGTGAACACTTAAGGATGTCATAGTGCAGTAGATTAACTGATTAACCAATAAACAAAAGCTTAATGCTAGAGACTATATGCATTTCCCCTCCGCCAGTAAATTTTTTAGCAGCCTGGTCATCTGTCTGCTCAGTCCTGGCTAATACCAGGTCTGGGAACTATCTCTGCTGTGACTGCATTTAAAGTGTATTAGGAGCCAGGCAGGCAGGCAGCACGGCTCAGTTCCAGCTCATGTTGGGTCCAGAAGCTCAGTCCCCCTTCCTGGACAGGGGCTGCAGCCACCCCGTGCTGCTGCATCTGTATCAGAGGCAGCAGAGGGGAGGCAACAGGCAACTGATCTGTGAGCGGAAGTTGGTTTTTAAACTGGCTCCTCTGGGGGATTAGCTCCCGCCTTGAACCCCACGCTGCTGACTCCTCAGGCGTAGGGCTGGGAGTGCCCTGGCTGCCAGTCTCACCCCCTCAGACTATAGAATAGTCGAGTAACTGATAAGAATTCATGAGGTTAACTGACTATTCAATTAACTGATATTTAACATCCCTAGTGCTGACACATTAGACATGGTTTTAGGTGTTGTGCTGATGCAATCAGGGGAGACTAACAAGAGCAAAATATTGATACCCACCAAACAGAATTATTGTGTTTTTGGAAGGCTGTGCTATAGTGTAATTAAACTTTACCTTTTTAACAGAAAGTGCAAGGTCCTAACAGATCATTCACCATCTGGTTAAACAACACTGAAGACTCAAATTCCAAGCTTCTGCGCTGGAGCCTGATACACCAAGAATTTGATATTCAAATTGTGTCTATGAAAGTTTAAGGAAAACATGGTAGTAGATGACCTGTTCATAGGGGCATGAGGGGTCAAATGCCATGGACTGGTAAGGATGGCCAGCAGCCAGTGCGGGGAGTAGTGGGGGGACTAGCAGGGCGGGGGCCATGGCACCTGCAGCAGGGGTCTGCCCCCCATTCCCTCACCAGAAACAGTGAGGGAGAGTAGAGTAAGGGGGCCCCAGATGCTTTCCTCACCTGGCTGTACCACTCTGGGAGAGAGGGCAAGACTGCCCTGCAGGGAGCAAATGAGCTGGGGTCATCTGGCTCTGCTTTCCCTAGACCCCTGCTGCCAGTCCCAGCGTTGCAGCACCACTAGTACCCCAGGGCCTCCTCAGGGGGAGAAAGAAGCAGGGAGAGAGCAGAGCAAAAGTAGAGCGAGGTGGAGCTTGAGGCAAAGGGGGGGTTGTGATCGCCCTTCCTCAGGCTGGGAAGATTACCAGGCTGGTCCCCCCACTCCGTTCCCTTCTCACCAGTCTCCTCTGCTTATCTGCTTATCAGGCCATGCAGCACCACTAGTACCCCAGGGCCTCCTCAGGGGGAGAAAGAAGCAGGGAGAGAGCAGAGCAAAAGTAGAGCGAGGTGGAGCTTGAGGCAAAGGGGGGGTTGTGATCGCCCTTCCTCAGGCTGGGAAGATTACCAGGCTGGTCCCCCCACTCCGTTCCCTTCTCACCAGTCTCCTCTGCTTATCTGCTTATCAGGCCACCTAACCTGCTGACCCCAGACACCAGTGGTTAACCCTCGGGCAGCTTTGTTATAATGGAGCTGCGACTGTCTGTACCTCTCTATTCACCCCTTGCACACTATGCCTTATGAGGTATTACGGCAAAATTGCATGCAGTCACAAGATTTCACTGTAGGGTATTACTAAGACAGGTGCCAAGGCTGGGAAGTGGCTAAACCATTTCCTCAGAGACAAAAGACAACCAGATGCCTCAGCCACAGGTGTAAAAAGACTAAATGGTCCCTTACCTGCTCAAATGCCCATTCTATGGCTGGAAAGAAGTGTTGGGTGAAAAATCTACATCTTAGCAAACAAACAGCATGGGATTCTTATCCACAGAGACTATTTGGCTCCTAAAGTTCACCTGGAGAAGCTTCTTGAACCAGGGAAAGGCCAAGAAGAAGGGATAGCAGACCCCCAAAATGGCATCTCCCTTTCTCTATGCCCAAGACATTCACAACATCCAAAGAATAAAGGAAACAGCATGGGACTGGGGGAAGGATCCCAAATGAAAAATGTTCTCCTGAAATGTGTTTTGAGAGACGGCTTTTAATTCATCCATATTTGTTAAGTTAGGCATTAGTTACATTTTACATTTATTTTTTCTCTAAACTCTTCTTTGACTTTTATGACTCATTACTTGCATTCCTGTAAAATCTCTCTCTTTGCAGCTAATAAACTTGTTTATATTTTGTCTAAACCAGTGTGTTTGAGCTGAAGAGTTTAGGAAACTCCATTTGGGACAACAGAATTTGTGCATATCATTTCTGATGAATAAAATGCCCAACTTTATATGAGCTGGCATTGTCCAGGAGGGAGCTGAGCAGTACAAGACAGACATTTCTGGGGAAAGTCTGGGACTGGGAGTTTGCTGATGTTGCCTTGCAGTGTAAATCCAAACTGGTTGGCTGCAGCACTCACAATGTAACTGGGAATAATTTAAATGCTGGAGGCTGTGAAAGAGCAGATCAGGACTGTTAATGACCACTGCAAAACCAGTGTAAAAGGCAGCCCAGTTAGAGAGCTGAGGGAACACAGCTGCTTGTCAAACCAGATTGTGTCCTGAATATATCACATCTTCAGAATCTGTCTTTTTCAGAAACGTGTAGGCAGGGAAGAAGGGAGAAGACTGAGCTCCTTTGGTTTTTAGGGAAAAAAGAGACCCTTAGGTTATGAAAAACTTCCTGTCAGAGTGATTAAGCACTGGAATAAATTGCCTAGGGAGGTTGTGGAATCTCCATCTCTGGAGATATTTAACAGCAGGTTAGACAGACATCTATCTGAGATGGTCTAGAGATGGTACAGGGTCCTGCCAGGAGGGCAGAGGACTGGACTCGATGACCTCTCGAGGTCCCTTCCAGTTGCAGTGCTCTATGATTCTATGAATCTATGATGGAGTAGTAGTGAGATCAATCCAGGTGGATTGAGCCCTAAATCTGAAATAAAGGATTGGAGATGACTGCAAGTCACAAGACTGAGACCTAAATTTCATATAATCCCAGAGTTTGGGCGGCTGATTATTAGAAATAAAAGGTTTGAAAAGAAACTGGGATCTGAACATAAGGACTAATGAAGAAAGAAAAATAATGCCCTCATGAGCTAGTCCAAAATCTAAGAACGGAAGTTCTTAAAAGTGTCAAGTTTGCTGCTCTCCAATAGAGACACAAAATGGGAGCCCTCTAAGGAATTTAACACTATGTTGTATAGGGTGAAGTCTATGCGAAGTCTCAACTAAGAAGTGGAATGAAATGCAGAAATATAGCTAGTGTGTTTACTGAGATGAGCCAAAGAAGGTATATAAAGAAATTGTTGTTCGGTAACAATATGCCACAAGGAATTCTCAGACAAATAGCAGTGACTCAGAGTGCAGCCAAGTGCGAACAAGGAAACTGCTCTGAACAGAAAGATTTTGGTCACAGGGTGTGTGAAGTGTTTATTTAGCTTGCACGCAAAGTGTGTTTTTCTGAGGACTATATCCTTGTTTCTCTGTTCCTGGGGTCACGCGTGATCTTGAAGAGTCATTTTTAAAGGCTAATGACGATAGTAGGACCCCTTCTCCACAGAGCTAATCTGTCCCGCACAAAGTATGAATAGTACTTTAAATGCCAATTCACTTCCATCACACTGCTCACCTGAAGCTCTTAAAGCACTTCACAGAAATAACTCACTCCTGTGAGATAGCCAGTAAGTATTATCCCCATATTACAGGTGTGGAAACTGAAGCATCAAGGCATTATGGTCAATCTCTGAGCCTTTTTCCATGCTCATGCCCAAGTTGCCTCCCCAGCATTCTGGCTTGTCAAGACTTATTGCTTTCCTGAAAACCCCTCCGGAAGGGTCATTTCTTCTGCAATGCCCACTAGAAGTAGGTTAGCGACAATAATAATCTACTCAGGGCCAGAGGCTCAGCTGGTGTCAAAAGTACAGTGACTTTAAGAGAGCTATGGGCATATATATCAGCTGAGAGTCTAGCCCTCCTGGTTATTTTATGAGACCCATTGGGCAGCTTGTCTTCTCTGTTTTGGACTGGGGCAGCAGTGGTGGCTGGAGCCCCAGGTTCTTTAAATAATCAACAGCCCAGCACCACAATCCAGGCAGGATGAGGGACCCCAGCCCTGCCCCTTCTACCTGAGGCCCCTCCCTTTTGAGAGTTCAGAGCTGCATCCCTCCCCCCCTCCAATTTTGTCCAGAGCACAGCAAGTCTGTCAGACGCTCTGGGCACAGGCACCGGCTCAGACAGAATCAGAGGCAGGATCGGGGCCTTAGAGCATAAGCTCTTTATGGCAAGCATTGTTGTTGAGTTTATTCTTGTATAACACCATGCACAACATTAGTTCTTAACACACAATAAATAATATAAAAAATTATCCAGGTAGCACTCACGTGGGGGGGTATGCTGTACAGGTTCTGATTGTATTTCACCTTTAAATCCATGTACAGATGCCAAGTATAGTTGACAGTGTACAGAAAGGACGCTACATAAAATATCTGAAAAATAAAAACAGGCCATATGTAATTCCATCAAATTATTGTTTGTACCTTAGCCCCTTTTAGCTCCAATGAACCCAGAGCCCTTGAGAAAACAACACCGTTCAAGTGATAAAAACGAGTCCTGAGAGAGGGAAACACAAAGCGCTCAAGAGAAATTCAGAGTGCTAAGCCTGGTAGAAATGCCTAGAGAGCCAGACACAAAAATCAGTACCTGCCAAAAATTAAGAGGCAATTCTGGCCCTCCCTCTGAACTTGCAGGCTGCTCCAGCTGCAGTAAAGGAGCTACAAAGGGTGGAGGGGGAGGGAAGGAGAGAATTTTCTGGAGCAGCACAGGGCTGGAGTAAGCAACCCAGCATTGCTTCCTTCAGAGGCCCCCAGTGAAGGGGCTAAGCTGGCGGGCACAGGCACTGACTTCCTCAGTTCCTGGGGTGTGCTCAGCCCCTCTGCCCAGGGCCTTCCCCTTTCCACCCTGCTCCCACTCCTCCCCTTCCCCAAACCCACCTCCACACTTCCTCAAATCCACCCCCTTGTCTCATCTCTTCCTGCACCCTCTTCTTGCCCCTGTTCTTCCCCCTTCCTCAGCACCATGGGAGGCACTGGGAGAGAGGGAAATGAGCAATCAGCAGAGTCACCACTGGGGGTGCTGAACACCCACTGTATTTTCCATGGATGCACCAGCCCCAGCGCCCATGCAGAGTTGGTGCCTGTGGCTGGGAACGGAGCTGGGATCAGAAGACCACATGCCCATCACATTCCAGCACTATGGGCACAGCTCACAGGCACCTGAGGGGACCCTGTCTTACATCAGAGCAGCTCCCCAACAGTTACATCAGGGGCCAATCTGATCCAACTCCCCAGCAGTACAAAATTGAGACAGTACAAAGATGGCTGAAACCCATGTTGGTCCTCCTGTCCCTAAGCTATGCCTTCTACGTTGTCTCTCTCATGAGACAGCACAGACTGCCACTTAATTTGCTTCCATTACACTGTGTGTGTGTGTGTGTGAGTGTGAGAGAGAGAGAGAGAGAGAGAGAGAGAGAGAGGGAGAGAGGAATGCCTGTAGTCTATAACATTAACCTATAAGCTTTTGCTTATCGGTTAGTTGACTCTATTACATCCCTACATGGGAGACCACTGAAGAAATACAAGAAACTGGGTTTCTTGCTTCATGAGATATGTCTATGCAGCAACTAGTTACCCACAGCTGGCCCATTTGACTCAGGCATGTGGGGCACTGGATTTAGGGGTGTTTTATTGCAGATGTCTGGGCTTGGCCTGTGGCTCAGGCTCCAGGACTGTGTGGAAAGGCCGGGACCCAGAGCTTGGACTGCAGCCTAAGTCCAGAAATCTGCACTGCGATCAAATATCCATGCGCTCTGAGCCCCATGAGCCAGCGTCAGCTGGAACAGGTCAGCCATTGGTTATTCTTTGCTGTGCAGACAGCCCCACTGCAGACACAAATGTTTTTAGCTATCGGTAGGGAGATCAAAAGAAGTGGCGATTACTTAAGATGTGCTTGCAGTGACCCTCTGGCTCATTGTAGGATTTATAAAGGAACCATTGCCTTCTCAGTGCCTTCCATGGGGAGCTCAAAGCTCACTACAAACATAACCCATTTACCTATCTTCCAGCCCCAAGGGAGCTAAGAAAATGTTATTACCCTCATTGTGCAGGTGGTGGTGCTAAGGCACACACTCTTAGCGAAGGCCTCTCACTGAGCCTTTGGTATAGCCATGACAACCTAGGCTAGTAAGTAGGCCGCACGAGTGGCCTTCCTTTATCTCAGTGGGCTGCAAGATTGTCATAACGACAGTCTCCCAGGGTAGGGTAGTTTTGCTAACTGCGTTGATATACTTAGATCTTGCAGGAGGTGTTGATTGAACTGTAGCAGCGCTGTGATTGGATGCAAAGGGAGCACATGGCTCTCCCAGTCAGTGCTGTGTGCAGTCAGCATGCACCTCACTTCACCTGCCCTTGCTTTGTGTGTGTGACATTTTAGCAGTACCAGTAGGAAAAAAACTGCTTTATGGATGGAAACCAGCAGAATCTGGCAACCATGTGCATGGACAAGGATAGACAAAATATCTCACAGGCCACACGTGGAACCCTGGTGGGCTGCATGTGGCTCACAGACCACAGGTTACCCCCCACTGCTTTGGCAGAACCAGGAAATCAGCCCTGCTCTCCTAGCTCCCAGCACTCAGCTTCTGTGGTGTCGAAGATAATCCAGCAGGCAGGCCATGGTCCCCATCGGAGCCTGGCATAGAGAAATAAAGCTGGAGTGTAGGAGAAAGCAGGAGCTCTTTGTTTATCCCTTTTCAGTTGTTACTTATAATCATTCTGTGATTTTCCATTGTGCAATCCAAACAGAGTGGAATCTACCAGGATTGTGATTAGGTCATTAGAACTTAATTGGGGAGACGGCAGATGAAGTGTGCAATTACAGCATGTTGCCCTCTCTGTGGGTTATTGCCGCATGGAATCCAGGGTTACAATGAGAAAGGGGCAGCTGAGGAGAAAGCATGTAACTTTGTCATTTCATTTGTTCAGCTAAGTGCTGGGGACTGCAGGGGAGGAAATCCTCAAGGAAAAGGAAACAAAGTGTGGTCCAAACTCATTTGTGGTCAATCATAGATTGAAACTCCCAACCTGTAACTCCACTGACCACAGTGAAGTTATGCTGAGATAAACATAGCCTTGCATTTGGAGAGAGGACCTATGATTTCTATAATTTATAGGGGAACATTTTAACCTGCATGGACACTCAGTCATGGATTTAAAAGTAGCCTGAACACAAAGGAATTTCACTACCCAATTACAGAAAGAGAATGTTGAATTGGAATTCATTTACAAATTTGGTATTGCTATCCTGGGCTTGAATAAAGACATTAATTGGTTATCACACTAGAAAGCCAATTTTCCCTGCCTTTGATATTTGCATTTTCACATTAAAAGCTGAAAATGGGACACCTCCAGCCCGCTTAATTGGCTTCATTAGCACTGGTCCTACAATTGACAGATAACTCTTTTGCTATTATATATATCTTAGATTCTTTTATTTCCACTCCAACTCATCTGATTAAGTGGTTTTTATCCATGATCCTATATATTTTTGTTAGTTTCTAAGGCATCACAGGACTACTCATTTTTAAAGTTACAGACTAACATGGCTACCCCTCTACGATTTGTATTATCTTCCATTTAAGAAAGTAGTAGAAACTCTATGAGCCCCACTGGTAAAGCAGAGCATAATTAAGATGCTTGTTTTTGTGTGAAAACACAAACAGTTCTAGACAGGTTCAAACAGTATCATAATAGAGAAACAAGCCAGTGAAAAATAATACCAGAATTATTCCTGATAACGCTGTGTTCCGAGAAAACTAATGAAATCATGGAAATGGGAAGAGGCTAGGTCACTCAAGAGACTGATAATGGATTTAGTCTTAGAGCCTTTAACTTTTAGATTGACATTTCAAATTTGGGGAGGATGGTCAAGACACAATTCTGGCACAGTCTTCCTGTGTGACTTTGGGCAAGCTGTGTCAGCACTGTGTCTCAGTTTTCTGTCTGTAAAATGGGGATCCTACTTCTCTATCTCATGGGATGTCGTGCGGGCCTCAAAGTGATGAGCACCGTTGAAAAATGAATAATCTAGTATAGGTTGATCGTGACTGAGAATGCTTTTACCATTTGACAGCTGTTCAGTGGTTGATATGATGAAATGTGTATGGTCTCCGTCTGGCTTTAACCATTCCTATAACTGGCATTAACTGAGCTTCTGGTTCTCAAGAGAAATGCCGAAGAGTGAATGGGCCATGCAATCTAAAATCCTTTTATTTTTGTTGGTAATCCTTCCAGGTCACATGGTGAGGCAGCAGGAGGGACCTTGCACTGCTGTCCCTTTGCACTTATTCTAAGAACAGTAATAAATAACCATCTGTTGCCCATCTCTGCTCCTAATACACTTTATAAGCATTTATCTGTGCCAAGGAGCATTCTGACAAAAGGAATGTAATGTTGTTGTCGTTTACTGCATGCCTACAAAATGCAGCACCCCTGAGATTCTTGGAATAAGGACAGGGAAGGGATTGGAACAGGACCATTGATGGGGGAGGGGAGAAGGGGCAACTGTCCAGGAGCTGGCGATTCAAAGGGGTCTGGGACTCCCAGCCACTGCTACGGTGGCAGTGGTGGCAGCTGGAGTCCCAGGCTATTTAAATTGCCGCCAGAGCCTTGAACAGCACACTCTGGGCAGCGCTAAGGACCGGTATTGGGGGTACATAGTCCAGAAGCCTCTTCTGCCCAAGGCCCCACCCCTTCCAAGAGCATGGAGCCACAACACACCCACCTGACCTAAGGGGCTGGCAAGTCTGTCGGCCTCTGCAATGGAAGTGTGGATGATGGAAAGTTTACTTTACACCTCTCTGCTGAGGTGCTGTTCAAGCTGTCTCCTATGTGCCTGAGTTCTTGCTCCTCCTCTTCCTGCCCAGCGCCTTATCACACATCCCACCCATGTGAGGCAGGGGTTGCTATGGCAAGCACTTGAGTTGTTTTAATTCTGTCCTAGAGTAAATAGCAGGAACAAATCTTGCCAGAGTGCAAGTTGGATCTGCCAGACCTACATACTCTCCCATCAGACAGGCATTGCCTTTGTCCTTTCCTGGGTACAGGCTTGGGGGGACTAGTGAGTGCCGTATAGCCCCCTTCCCTGGCTACCTTCACAGGATAATGATTCACGCGTGGTCACTGCATTCAGGAGGTGGCAGCAGTAGCCTAAACATCTAAACAGGAGCTCCCCCACTGCCATCTCTCACGTTGGGGCTAGCCAGGTGCTGATGGATCCCTCTCATCAGGACCCCAGACTTGCTGTACCTGATTGCCCTGCAAGTCTGTGTCATCCAGCGTCTTGCCTCCTGCACTGGCCAAGACTTCATGCTTCCAAGGAACACCAGCCTCCCCCATTTTGCAGCTATTCTTTTAGGTTCCATTTCCTCCAGTTTCTTGCAGAGGCTCCCAAGCTGCTTTGCCGTAGACCGGGGAGGCAGACAGGGCCACCCCCTGAATTCAGTGGGGCCAGAACTTTGCCTCAAGCTCACAGTCTCCTTCATTGCCCTTCAATCACAAAGGGAGGTGTCTCTGAAGTCACTGCCAAACCCACATCTCCTGTGACGCCAAACAGCACCTGGATGCCAGGCAAACTTGTATTCCAACCTTTACTGGAGTAAACAGAACCAGACAAACAGCAGGCATTGTCACTCCTCAAATAGGTATGTGCCAAGGCAATCTAATTCCAGCTCTCTTTGAGCCAGATCTGGACGATGGGATCCTCACACCACTCATAAGAACGATGGCCTCATGATAGTTTTCCAACAGCAAACTTACCTATGTGGCCCATGAACAGGACCTCCTCATACAACCTTCAAGTTGACTATATCCTCATTGTCAAGAATTATCACCATGCCTTCCCTAATGACTGAATTGCACACAAAACCTTTTGTTCCTTACCGCAAGGTGAACACATATCACTGTTTTTACAGCAGCGCAAGAGGAGCTAGAAAGATCAGAGATAAGCTAGAAGTGGCATAGCTGCTACCTAATACAGTACTTGGTGTCATGAGTAATAAGAATTACCCATGTGTACTGAGGTTTAAAAAAAATCCAGCACAAAACTGTGCCACAAAAACCTGGCAACCAAATATAAAGCAATGTGAGCACTCTCACATACTGTACATTGAGTTACTCTCCTGCCCTCTCCACCAGATATAGGTGACCGTATTTCCCTGTGTTGAATACGGGACACCATGTAAAATTACTCTTATTCAAGCAAGTTCAATGTAAATCAATTGGAACTACGCAGTACAAACATATAAAATAACATGAAGTAGACTGAGCCCCTGTTAAAAAGGAATGCAGTGTTGCTGGAGTCTTTTTATTTGCCTTCTTATCTCTAAGGTTTGCCTAGAGAGAGGTGACACACTCATTCCCGTACACCTCTCTCATCTGGGAATGGGGGTGACTGACCGACCTGACCCAACCCTCCCTACCGGGTGCCCTCTACCTGCCAGGCCTCACTGGGTCCCCAGGATGTACCCCCCTCTCCTGGTACCTGGTGCCACACTGTCTCACAGCAACATGTGATGGGCACACAGGGTCACAGGCCCCCAGATGGTGACACACTCATTCCCGTACACCTCTCTCATCTGGGAATGGGGGTGACTGACCGACCTGACCCAACCCTCCCTACCGGGTGCCCTCTACCTGCCAGGCCTCACTGGGTCCCCAGGATGTACCCCCCTCTCCTGGTACCTGGTGCCACACTGTCTCACAGCAACATGTGATGGGCACACAGGGTCACAGGCCCCCAGATTTCAGCTGGGGCGGCGAGCAGCAGCCGCTGGGCGCAGCGCCGGCGGGAATC